GCAAGATGCATCTTCAAAATCATATGAAATTGGGAAATGCAGGAATCAAAATTCATAGTCAAAGCAGAAAAAACAATTCGAATCTCCGAAGAAAAAAAATCGATGGATCAATCAAATCACCTAACGAAGCTGATGTGTACGCCGAGACTCCGATGAACTGCTGAACAATCGATACAGAGAAAGATCCCGTAAGTAACGGAAGCCCATGTTGGGTTCTTCGCATTGCAATCAAAACAAATCTGCAAACATCAAATAAATAAAACGCAGATCAGATTAAACCCATAGACTTCCTTCCCAGATCTGAATTCGGATCTTAAAGCGCATTAACCTTATTATCAGATTTGGCTTTGAGCTTCTTAAAAACAGAGATCTTATCATTCAGATTCTCCAACGACGCCATTGTAGGGGAAGGAAACTATTTTTCTCCAGAAAAAATAGTTTCGAAGGGAATAGAAAGAACAAAAAAAAGCGATTAAAAAAATTTCGAAATTGACGCAAGAAATCGAAACGAGGTTGCCTAATATCCAGCCGTAAGGTTGGGTTGGTAATGTGAAATGACGAAAGTAACCTTTGTGGGATTCTTTAACGGTAACGAGAGGTGGTTAACGCAACGACCCAATTTTGTGTTTACCTCAACTACGAGAGGTAATTATTTGTTTAATCCGTTACATATTTAAAAGAGATAACGTTACATATTTTGCAAACAATTAAACGTTACATATTTAAAAGAGATAACGACTTATTATATCAAAAAAATTGACCCTTTTGCAAACACATGAGAGTAACATTTTCGTTTGTGATGAAAATACACGTTTGTTTTTCGGCGGACAACTGAAGGTCTTTCAAATTCATAGACAGGCGAGAGCAGGCGGTTCAATGAGCCCCCATCTCGTTTTAAATACATATACATGTAATGATGTTCTTTGCTACATCATTTGATAGCACGTACGATATATTGCTTTGTCTGTCTATATATATACGCATAATCATAGATGATAGATTTAATCTAAAGTATGATCTTATATCAAATAACATGGTTTTATTTGTCTTTTTTCTTTTTTGATCAACAACATGGTTTTCTTTTGTCATGGCATGATTTTTATCATAAAAGTGTAGCACATTATTTGTAAAGTGCAAAATATATGATACTCGATGGCTATAAACATGACTGATATATTATTAGCATGATATGATGAATTGAGACGAAACTGTGGCAGCTTGTGCCAAACAACATAAAAGGTTGCTTGGAAAGTGAGCTTATAGAGATAGTTGATCCGTCTCTGTTGATGATGGAATGTTGGAACTGGAGAATAATGATTATTGGGGTCAATTTGAGAAAAATAAAAGGTTGAAGGGTTTGTTATGAAAAAGTAAAGGGTGGTGAATGGTGATGATGAGAAGGTGCAACCGTGTGCGTATGTCTGTCGCCACTCTTTGTCGGCTCTGTCTACTATCTCCTTACCACTCCCTCACGTTTCCCAATTTCCCATTCTTCTTCCTTTTTTGTTTGTTTCTTTTCAAAGACAAGTTAGAAATACAATACTCCTTTTTTATAAGAAATACAAAAAAAATTATATGGAGACGGCTTCAATCACGTGGTTGGTAGGGACTTCCATGCACATGTTACCATGTTACTGCTTCTCGTATTACGAATATTAAAAAATTTACAAAGTTATCAACCTTTTTTTAAACTCGATAATTGAGTGTTTTTTAGCATGTGTGTTCTACACTTCTACTTCTGAATATTTTTTTTGTTTTGTTTTTTAAACTCTTACTAGGATATGGGATAAGAGAAATGATTGAATCAAGATGTTTTCTTATCTTTTGATAAAAATCACAAAATCATTCGACAAATGGTCTTTTAAACCTAGTTACAAATGTTAACCTCGATTTGTAGTCAGCAATATTTTGAATTCTTAATTAGTTTTCTTCTTATTTTGGAAATTACCGTAGCTTCTTCAGATTCATCAAGCATATACGATTTTCATGTATAAAATCAACATTTTCATCATAAAAATAATAGATATTAATTTACATTGACAGAAAAATAACAATTAATAATCCACAAAAACAAAAATTCAACCTCTGTACAAAGGAGATCTTTGTTGAAACGTCATCTTGGAGACTATCGACTGTCGAAAAACCTTGATCGGACTTGGAAAGTACCAACCATTTCCTTTACTCGTCACGGGCACCGGCGAAAATGGCACTTCTCCTGCGTCAGAAACTGCAACGGATCTCGACTTCCTCATAACCGTAGCAGCCTTCGTCCTCGTCTCTCCCCTGTTTCCACTGAACAGCCTCCAGAGCCAACGTCCACGACCCGGCTTGAGATCCGACCCGGTTCCAAAAACCGGTTCCGGTTTAGCAGACCAAAGAAACGCCGGTTCGGATTCGATCAGGTTGGCAACGCGGCCAACCGATCCGACACCGGAGAACGGAACGTCACCTTCGGCGGCGGAAACGGAGGCGCGTGGGGTACACGAACAGGGGAGATCACGGGCACAATCGGGGCAGAGAGAGTAGAGGCGTTCGTGGAGGCAGAAAGGACAAACGCCACCGCAGACGAAACGGCGTTTGGAAAGGTCGTGTCTTGAACATTTCTGCCAAACGCTGCCTCCTTCTTCGTGGAAACGCAAATCCATTTGAGTTTGTGTTACACTTCTCGCGTTTTCTTTCCTTGGCTTTTCACGTCTTTGAAACTCTGTTGTCTCCGTAACACACAGCTTCTTCGGATTGAGAGAGAGAGGTTATAAAGTGGATTTGGAGGAGTATTATTGGAAATTATTAAAGCCACTAATTAGAGCCCCACTCTGCTTACCCTTAATTAACCTTTGGTTAGTTGGTTTAGTGAAACTAACTAATAAAGCATTCAACTAAGGCTAAGCTGCGCCGAATTATATGCCTTGGTTATCGATGCGCTACGTTTCCTTTGCCTTTAATGAAATAACCCCTCTTTATGTATATCAATTAGGAGCCTTCAAAATCAAGAGTATCAAATACCCTTCAATATACAGTAGTTTTTTAAAGCATTCAAAATCATTAGTTCAGTTCTGTTTGGAGAAGGTGATTTTCAAATATGATATTATTAACAACAGCTAATTCTGATTATCACAAGTTATTATGGACCAATAGCTTCCAAAATATCCAAAATTTATATTTAGAAAAAATTACAGTGTTTTATGTTGTTTGTCGACATCTGAAGCCAATGTGTACAAGAATATAGTGTTAGGCCAAAAGATGCATAGAGAAATTGGAAATTCTTATAATATGAATCAAAATTTGGGTAAATGAATATTTTTTTTTGAAAAACCAGTCATTTTAATACCAATTTTTCCATTTTTGTCAAAACAAATACCAATTTCTTAATGAGCCACACACATTATATACAAACTTATCTTGACTTGACCAAATTAGATATAAAATTAGTCATTTTCATATTTTAGTGAGTCACAAAATACACAAACTTATGTGGATTCGATCAAATTAGATATAAAATTAGTCAACTTTATACCAGAGCCCGGGTCCGGAGACATGGAGAGATGAACGCTACGAGACCGTAGCCTGAGTCCAAACACCTGTTAGGGCACGAGATCCCTGGAGGCAGTAGCCTGAGTCCGGGGACATGTGAGGGCACGAGATTCCACACAGAAGTTGCGATAACCTGAGTCCGGAGACGTGACGGGTAGCACGAGAACTCCCTTGAAAGTTATGATAACCAGAGTTCGGAGACCTGACGGGTTAGTATGAGAATTCTGCGAAGACTTATGGCCTGAGTCAAGCGACATGCCCCCTCGGAGACTGCTGAGAAGTTCTCATCATTCCGAGGGCTAGAACCGGGGGCGAACCTGCTCTTTGCGACTAAGTTGCATCAGAGCGATACCTCGAGTATAGCCTTTTGAGAGATTAAGCCACTAATCCCAACAATTTTGATTCTCTTTTCTTTCCTATAAAACATCTCGCTATCCCTTTCCTTTTTTTTTCTAACATAGAATAGATAATGCAACTTCTAGCCTGCTCTAAGTGCGAAACCGATCCTTAAACCACCAAACTCTCCTAATAGCTTAGAGACTCTCGCGTTCGCATACACTAATTTGGCCGAGTCAACATAAACTTGTGTATTTTATGACTCATTTAAAAATTAGTATTTTTGTGACGCAAAGCGGAGAGTTTGGTATTAAAATTGGTATTTGTTTTGGCGTAAAAACGGAGAACTCGATATTAAAATGATTATTTTACTTTTTTTATTCAAGGTACGTTAGAGTGGAGCAACTTATTGAAAATAATTATTCTCTTTGGCCAAATCCAATACGAAGAGCTTAAACAGCTACTAAGGAATGCATTTTGTAGAGGGATATAGACTGCAAAAACCGACCCATAAACGGATTGGCCGGTTCTTAGTTTCAGACCGATTAGGGCTATCATTGCTAATCCCCCCTCCCTATAGATAGGAAACGGGGTG